AATTCTGAATGTACTTCAACCTTCTGAAAAATTTATTTGATCCAAACGATTATTTGTGCATTTTATAAGAAAAATGATTAGGTGAAATTTGAAACAATGAGAATATTGCAAGAATTTAAGGACATCTATATATTATTTATAATAGACTGAAACATTTATTTGACTGTTGTTTGTTGATAAACTACGTTGATAAATATTTTGTTCGTTGTCAGCATATGTTTCTGAAACGATTTACATCTTTATCATAAAAGTGAAATAAAGTATGATAACCACAAATGTAAATTTATTCGTAATCACTTAAGCGTTCTCCTTACTTCGACGATTTACAAAAATTGAATCTTTTATTAGTTTCTTGAAGTTTTATGTTTCAAAAATATAATACAGATAATTATAGATAAATTCGTCAAATTGGCAACTCTCCAGAATGTCACAATTTGAGACATACGTTCTCCGGAAAATTCTCTTCTTTCAATTTGGCTTCCTTCTTATCTATTAAAATGTTTCTCATTTATAATTACAGTTACGTACATTTATTTTATGCCTGTGTATTCGAAACAACGTGCGGATTTCGACTCATTGATCGATAATCTCTCGAGTAAATCAATATCAGTAGAAATTATGATATGCCGAAGTATTCCCCGAAGACTGTAATTTATAATAGTTCTAGAAACTGTAAATACAATATTTTTTAAAAAGATATTCCTGGAACTGGTTGCGCGCCGTGACATTTCGAACTCGAATTGCTGATTCTCCTTAAACTTGGTATAATCTTCTGTAAACAACGAAATCGATCAATATATTTTCATATTGAAACGTTATTTATTAATTGAATTATGATTAGTTTTTTAAAATCGAGTATACTAACATCTTTAGTTCAGTTACCTAAAATTGAGGTGTAAATTATAAATATAATCTTTTTTAAAGTAATACGCATTAATATAATTTCGTAAAGAGGAATACAAATGAATGTAATTTTGTAAAGAGGAATACAAATTAATATAATTTTTGTCAGAAGGAATACAAGCGAGTATAACTTTGTAAAAAGTGACACGTAAAATTTGATATTCCCTAGTATTTGTATTTTTCGTTATTTCTGAATTATTTTAGCTCAAATGATAGTAGCAATCGCATAGATCAATTTGTTTATAATTTTTATTTTAGTCTCATACAACGGTTCATGATGTAACACAACGCAAGTTGCCGTTTCTCTCAGTTTATTTATAAATTTATTAGTGTGTCTTTACTACAAGCCTTCGTTGCTGTATTAACGTCTCAAGAGTAGGGTGCACGAGATACCTGTCTGCTACGGAAAAAAAAACGGTGTAATTCACTCACATGAAAGTCGAGGTTGGTCGCCGAGGTCGGGCGTCGTGCGATCATGAATTCCATATCACTTTTCGTTCGAAGAAATTGTAACTTTAAAGTCACGAAGGTCGAGCAAAAGGAAGATAGGAAAAATAGAGATAAGGGGAAAATATAGATTCGGTTTGCTAATGGAAATACCACGAGTAAACTTTCTGGAAATGTTTACAGACGATAGTAATAAACATTTATTTAATGAAGCGCATTAAATGGAACAGATAGATTTATAATCTTTGATTGATCTATTTTCGGGGGAAAACAGAAATTCTATTTCGAAACAGGAGATATATATGTGACTTTCTTTTAACCCGGGATTACCCACGTGAAAATCAAATGCTAGGAGTACCCGCGTGAGGATCTAGTACCGGAAATACCCACGTGGGGATCTAATGCCGAGAGTACTCACCTGAGAGTCAAGTGCTAAGAGCAGCCACGTGGAGGTCTAGTAGACTCCTACCATTGGAAAATTTTTGTATATTTTAATCAGTAAATAGTACATTTTTAATGGGGATCCATGAACAGCACACGTGGATAATTCTCGGTTAAACAAAAGTTTTTTCGCTTTTATATACGTGATTATAGTAACCGTAGCATTGTTTCAAATACGTAATACGATAGCTTATTATACGGTTTGGAACACTTTATTTAACACTAAACCTGACTTTAAGCCTCAATTTTTAAATTATTTTACGAATTGATTGTATTATTCCAAAAATATAATAAAAAAAAACATTTATTTTCAAATTGTTGAAATTATGGAGATTCATCCTTGAGAAAGAATATAATAAATTCCTTCATTCAAGTTTACGATATAATAAAAATGGCTAGAAGTCTCAATAAATTCAGTCTTGCCACTCCTAGAAAGCAAACACGATGCACGCTTTCACAGTTCGATAAGTTCACTGTTAATACTATCGAAATAAATACATTTTGTACAACTGAAACGACAGTAGTTTGTAATATCACGAGATAGTATCACAATATCGTGTCCATCAATTTTGATATTATTTGCATTATCAACAAAGATTCTGTTTACGCTCAAATGACGGACCTTTTGACAAAGATATAACATACTCGGGTTCAGTTATACTTTTATTATTATTTTACCTTAATGAGAAATGAAAAGATTGGAGTTAAATGTCAAAAACTAGACAGTCAAATAATAATATTTAAACTGAGTGTTAAGAAATGTATTTTTTAAACAGCAAGCTACCACATTTTTGTTTTAAATATCGATAGAAATTTCAGGAAAAAAATTTTGTAATGGAAAGATTTCTTGCTCAGATACAACAGAGATGATTTCGTTTAAATCGGGAAAATTCCACAATTCAATTTGCGTCGGTACATCTTGTTTGTCGTCATGATAAAATCGTGTATCAGGAAATAATTGTTTTCGTACTAGATCAAAAAAAATGATGAGCATGCAAATTCTAGAAGTAAATAAGATTTAATGCTGTGAATATACGTAGCCAGGTAAACGTGGCCGTGTGAGCCATGTAAACGGGGAAACCCCTTCCGGCACGTCCTCCGTTTCTTGATGTGCGAACGGTTTCTTCCCGTGAATGACCTTAGGAATGCGTCAGCAGAGAAGAAACATGAATTTCTAAAAAAAGCTGTTGTGGTCGTGATAAGTCCTCGCTTCTTATGACAGCCGTGTAGTTTTTCATGTTGTGACGCGTATACCATGCACCGCAACCAGCACCTAATTATTTTTTTCTGCTACATTATTTTCCATTCCGTGTATTCACTAACACATTCCAATATTAGACCTATCGAGCCTACCAACGCGTATTGTTTTATAGCTGCCTATGGAAGAGTCTTTATGATTTCAGCAACTTTAAAACAAAGGATATGAGGACAGTCATTTTTTGACACGGTGTAGGTTCAGTGTTAATTACACTTGCCAGATTTAATTTTGCATTATGATTAGAATGCGGATTTCATGCATTTATATACATATGCGAAAAACAAATAGGTTAACCACAAAACAAGTTGAACATTAAAAAGTAGCACATCCAAGAAATTAGGAGACGGAATTAGTTTCTGTCGAACTTTTGTTGCCCACAATTCATGCAAAACGATTTCATTTTACATAAAAATCTGCCGTCTAGTTATGGTAATGAGTAAGACGAGTCCCGTAGATTTTCGTACGCTAAACGTTTCGTTTTAGATTTCCAGTAATTTTATCATGAAAATAGTCAAATGTTTAACTTCAAGAATTTTTTCTATTTTAATCGTGATGGTTATACGAATGATTCTCGAATGAACCCATGACCTGTTATGAATGAATGAACCTTATGTATACAAACATTTTGAACTCAAATTTTGTTGTTATTATCATCATCATTATTATTACTATTATTATTACTATTATTTTACCGTACTTATTTTACATAAAAATTTAAACACGTTGAAAGAATGTATAAAAAGAGCGGGACTATAACGCACCAATTTTGTCACAAAACACTGTCTTATTTATTTTGAAAAATAATATTTGTTTTCTAATTTTCAAAATTATTTTCAAAATACAATTAAAAAAAATAAATAGGCACGTTTTGTATCCATTAAATAATAAAAATAATGATTTGTTTATAATTATTTATTCTAAGTTAAAATACTAAATAAGTTTTAGGTATATTTTAGACACGTCAAATAAGAAAAATAATTTCAGCCAGCGAAATCGGGAGTGGGAAGCATAATATGCAATTAAACGCTTATTACCCATTCCTCTCGTACAAAAATTTGCCTTAATACGTCAATAATATAATGCAACTTGTATAACAATAATTAATACCGCCCGACTGAACTTCTGACGATCAAGGAAGGCAGATGCAGGAATCTTCAGCATCTCCAAGTATTTGACGTCATTCGCGCGGCACGCTTTTCCTATAGCGAGTCTGGTAAACATACGCCACGGTCATTTTTCTGCGCATCGTTGACCTTCGGAATTCTTTGAAAGATATTACGAGTTCATTTGTTTTTTTTTTTAAATAATATGAATATTAATTGTTTACGAAACCGATGTGGACGATTTTCGACGAAAAAGCGACATCTTAAGCAAAAATCAATGAGAAACTAGAATGTAATGCAATAGCTCTGCGGTCTGTTGGTTGATTGACAGAATGGCTTTCGGATGTGTCTCGGATTTGTTTTTATTGCGTAAACGAAAAAGGAGGAAAAACGTGTTTATCTTTGCCTTATTTATATTGCATTTTATAGTATAACTATATACTAACTATAGTATACCATACACTAAATAGTGTATTTACGAAAACGCGCGCGATGAAAGAATTATAAAAGATTAAAATCGGATTTTTGAAAATTTGTATAGAATGGAAGTTATGAAACATATGTATATGTATGTCTAAATATTAATCGAAAAAATTATGCTTCTTCTTGAATGTTATGTTTTCGTTTAAACACGTTCCACTTTAATGTCCGTCGTTCCGTTTTTTCTTCGATAGATTCGATGAATTCTTTTCGATAAATTAACATTCGTATCGAGTAAATGAGGATGATTAATGCAAAAATTTCTTCAGATGGAATATTTAGCAGATTTGTGAAAGTTTTTGACTGTGGCGGTTTCCATACGAACCCAAGCGGGTCCGTCAAGATTAGGGGACACGTGCGCGAATGTGAATAATTCGAAAACTGTCCACTTTAATTGCATATCGAACATGAAATTCAGTTCCGTAGTATATTCTGAATTTCACTTTTGGACAGCTACGTTATTTGAAATAGTTTTAATACGTTCATAACAATTTAGTATCAAAATTATTGCGTCAAATGCATACACTTATCGATATAATAAATGATCATATTGAGATCATATTGAGACACGATCACAATTTTCACCAATTCGTCATCAATAATTTTCACAAAATCATGATTTACTTAAAATTTGTTGTAAACTAATATTCCGATCGTGCATCTTTTTTGAGTCTAGTAAACGTAAAAGCGGTAAATTGTTCTCGCGTGAGCAATTTTCTTATGACACCATGCGAGGCGGGAGATTCCAGACAATAGTGTTCGTTAAATAACGCCTGAGAAGTCGATTCTACGAATTGTAGACCAGACTGCCTGCAGTACGTAATTTGTTCGTCTAGAATGTTCTGTTGATTATGTGCTAACAGACGTAAAACAGGAAGCGTTATGCACTTAATACAATGAGTTATTGTTACACGAACTTGTTTGCAGTTAGTTACGCGTGTACGGTTTTGCATCGACGATAGTAGATAGCATAGTGAAATATTAAAAATAGTTTTTAGACAGATCACGATTTCGCAGATAACTATTACAACTACAGAATTCAGACTGGTATAATGAAACTGCTATAATGGTGTATCATTTATTCATATATTCATTATTAGATAGTCTCACCTATAATTTCATTACCGTCTGCATTTGCATGAATGACATTGCAGGTTTGGTTGCCACGATTCGTGTACATTTACGTATTTAGGACACCATCAAGTGGAATGTTTAAATGTTATCGATGACAATAAAAATCTTCACAAATATAAATATAGTTTCACAGTTTCTCCAAGTGTCACTACATTATTTAGCCTCGTTAATCTAGTTATACTCAACTATTCCGATTTTATTATTATTTTATTATTACGTGTTCATCGTTGCATTCAAATTGAAGGTAATTCTATTTTGCCAGATACTTCAAATTCTTACAGTATAACACTTTATGTTTCAAATTATTTAATTAAATATAATTTATTCATCCGAATCTCGCCACTTAAAATGTTGTTTCACGTGAACTATATTGTATCAAATATTTCAAATACTTTTTTAAAGTTTTATCAAGTTCCACGAAGAACAGTAACGCAGGATTTATAGTAGATAGTTATACTACTGCTAAATACTATATCAATACGATATTGTAGTTCTTAGAGCGTTTAAATGAGTTTAGTGTTTGCGGGATAATATTGGCATTGCTTCTTACTTTATGAGTTCAGTTTCTTTACCAAAGATAAGATCTAACATCTCCTATCAGCTCTAAAGTACATAATAATGTCCTATGCACATACTTCAAGCAAGATAATCTGATTTCAGTTTTCCACAATCATTTGAATACATTATTCTTATCTCCTCGTGACAAAATCGAAATTGATTAAGGATATAATTGTAAAATAGTAATATTTTCCTGAAGAGTACATTGAAATTA